GTGTCAACTTCACGAAAAAAGGGTAGAGTGGTGCTTAGGATTTCTCAGATCCAAATGATGGGATCTGCCTGCCATGGCCTACAATTTGGTGCTTCTTGGGGTGGTGAAAGCAGGTAGTTGACTTGCATGGAGTGTGGGACCGATTCGTGTGGGACAGATTCGTGGAACCTTCACACCCGACTCACCCCGATTCTGAGGCACAGGAGAAAGGGATCGGCTTCTGACCGTCAATGGTCCCGTTCTTCACGTCGATCTTGCGGGCGCTGGTGCAAGGACACTCCCAGAGCTTCTGGCTTTCAGGTGCGCCTTGGTGCGTGCGTGCGGGCGCGACCCGTGCTCTCCGCTTGTCTCAAGCGCTTTTGGGGACAAGGATGACATATATATATATATATTAATATATATATATATCTGAACTAAAGAAGTGGAACAGTGGAATCACCAACAGAACCTGGAGATCGGTGCATGTACATTGATTTGGGTGGGGAAAATTTGCCAGTGGTCACTAGCAGATTGGAACGCTTGGGGTTCTCCCTACAGTCAGTGAAAATGAGGTTCTCACAGGAACCTGTCTCAGAGTACAGATCCTCATCTCCATTTTTTGTGAATGCGGGTCAAAGGGATTCAAAGGGTCAAAGACCCCTTTAAGGTGCCTTGGAATTTCTTGGGAAATGCAAGGATTGCTCGCTTGATGGAGGTCCTCACACTCCCACACACACATGAAGAGCCGATGCAAAAACCTTTGGGTCCGGTTTGTGTGTGTGTGTGTCTTGATCATGCATTGTATTCCTTGCCTTCTAAAACATGTGAGACAAAGCTATCACCTGGTTTTCTCACACATAGGACACCAGTGGTCCTCCTGGCACCCAGCCCAACAACAAAAGGACTTAAGGAGGTCACAGGTCATTGAAACAGCCCCCCTGTGTGGCCCAGCCGGGCAGTGGAAGGTAGACCCCTCCCAAAGCCCAAACCCATCAGAACCCATCAGGACTTCCCAGTCTTGGCTCAGGCTCCATATGTGTTGATGAAGTGCATCAGCACCATGAAACTGTCCGGGCTGTCCACTGCATACCTGTCTCGCCACGGCGAGACCGGAAATTTCCGGCGAGACCGGCCGAACGAAGGACGGCGGTACGGGCGCTGCAACGGTCTCCCTGCATGCTGCTAGTGAATATGGCCGAGTGTGATGAACACGAACATGGAACTCCTTTTTTTTGTAGTAGGGGCTTGGAACATGAGGATGTGGCTGCTTTTGCTTGTCTGGCCACTTACCTATCACAGCTCATCATCCCTCACCCAAACGCAACATGGCATGCTGGCCATAATCTGCGACCCATGCTTTGCAAACTTCGCACTTCACCAGCCCCACCCCACCTATCTTTTCAAGCCTTTGCCGTATTATCAACAAAGCTAGCCAACCCGATCTATATACCACCACGAAATTCACCACCACATCTGCCAACTCCACGTCATCACCACATCCACCATTTCCATCCTACCCCACATCTCACCTGACCTTACCCTCACCCCGCCACCTGACCTACCTTTCTACCTTTCCCCCCCCCTTTCGCCCTTCACCGTGGCACGTGTAGCGTCCCGCCAGCTTGGTGGACGTGCCGCGGTACTCCGCGCCGCTGGCGCCGCCGAAGGCGGCCACCTGCGAGCGGCGGCCCTGCGGCAGCGCGGCCGTGAGCAGGGCCTCGAAGGAGCGGCGCTTCCTGAGGCGCAAACCGGAGGTTTTGGGGGGGGGGGAGGGGGTCAAGGGGTCGAAGAAGTTCCTGAGGCACCTTGGCAATTTTTCGCAAAATCCTTACGAAGTTTGATGTGTTACCAGTTCATTTGGTCCGTTCTCAGGCTTCAATCACCTTGGCATTCCAAGGTGTGTTGAAGATCTCTCATTGGACAGTTCTGATGATTTATGTAATTGTTTGGGGTGAAGCAATGTGTGTTCAGCTTCAATGACTCACAGGGTGCTAATAGCACTCGAATTCTTCCCCATGTTGCACGGGATTCTTTGGAACTTGAGGGTGGAAACAAGTGGAAACTCTCACTCCCTCATGTGGCATGGATGTTACCACTATAGTTCTAAAAAAGGGTCGGTCTGCCGATCACACTTACTATACTTCCTTCAGCACCTGCGAACGCGCGCGAGAAACGCGCCTGTCGCGCGTATGCGGACATGCGGAAAAGCGTCATCATGCACCCTCGGTGCATGTGGTGCTTCTTCGTCTGGTTGGGGAAGCTGGTGGGGTCCAATGGATCGTGATCCTTGGTGTAGTTGTACAACCTCGAGGATGGACCAGCGAGGATGGACCCGCGGGTCAGCCGTTGGGCTCGACACACGGAGAGACTCGCTGGCAACGGGGAGAGACGTCGGTGGTGAACAAAGGGTGAAACCAATGGAGACTCGAATCATAGCAGTCTGGAGACTCGAGCCGTCTGGTTTAGCACCAATCAGCCTCGAGTTTTGCTGTTTAGTTGGCAGAGTTAGCAGAACAATTGCATGAGTCTTGCCATTGGACCCTTGGACGCTTGGACGTTCAAGGTGTTGTAGTAGTAAGGTTCATAGGCAAACATCAAGACTCCATTTACTTGAAATACGACCTGACCCCGAAAATCACTCTGATTTAATGCATACTGCCATGCCAGCAGTATGCAGAAAAGAAACATCCTCCATTTCCTTCATGCCATCCTAACCCAGTTCAACCACAAAACCAGCATCCAATCCCATTCAGTTGCTGGAATGAGATGGAATGCCCATCCATCTTCGTGGACCTTTCGGTCCGATTTTCGGTCCGGTCAACCTGGTGGTGTTTGAGACCCACATGGAACCGGAAGAAAAAGGCATGGACCAGACTGGAGGACGATGTTTCTCTACAATACAATCCAGTGGTTTTCAGGTTCCATGTTAATGTTCCAGGGTGCAAATCCACGATTAAGATGGATTAAGTACATTTCCCCAACCCACCACTACTGTAGCAGTCTATGCTCAGCTTGACGGCAGTCTAGACTTTGGATTGCTTTCTCAGGGCGGGCCCTCCCATGGCCACTGTCGAAACAGCTTCCTGCGGTGCCGAGCTGCTTCATGAGGTCCTCGTGAGGCCCCAACATGAGCGCGTGGTGGTGGTTGTAGGTCATGTAGAGCGGGGCTGGCGATTTCCTCACACTCTGATGTCACACCAAACGCGCCGGAAAAGACACACAAACAGACCAAAACCTCCATGAACAACCATGTGCGAAACGCACTGCGAACAACAAACAAACAAACAAACAAACAAACCAAACAACCAAACAAACAAACAAACAAACCAACCAACCAAACAAACAAACCAACAAACAAACAAACAAA